CGCACGGCTCTAAACTTTGCACCAGGACTTCAAACCCGAAAACCGCTACTACCGAGAGATATGCTTACTCATTCGCGACACATGGGAAAAGTCGACATGCGGGAGGGAAGTGACATCTATGCCATCATAACCGACGGCCGGAACAGACGGAAGTCAGTCTGTGACCCGTGAGTAACCGCCAGGTGTTGAGACCGCGCCCCTTCACCGTACAGCCGCCAGCCGGCCCACACGTGTGCGATGAGCCGCCGACCGCTACGACAGGGAAACGCTACAGACCATGTCGCAGAATCGTCCTCATTCCCCGGAGTAGGATAGCGTCTAAATGCCTCACAGACAAGGAAATTTATTTGCGTCACCGTGCAGATTTAGACCACGAATTACCTGATGTGACTAAACGCCCACCAGGAAGTGGCAGAAATCATGCCTGAAGTGTCACAGCATGCCGAAGAGAGAAACAATGGTGGCGCATTCCGTGCTCAGAACAATTCAGTCAGTCTTGAATTAAGTGCTCTGTATTTTTCTATTCACCGAATAACTATATTGAAATAATAACAAAAAATCACTTAGCCATTACCAGAAAGCCCCGAAGCACGAGTCAAAAAGCATGAATGACAAAATGTAGCATGCATCAATTTTCTGTCGACAACAAAGTATGTATGTCGGCATTTCAGCGCGACGGATGAAACGCCAGCAGGAAGCCCCTAAGCCGTACAGCCTCTCTTGAAAGTACCGCGTATCGGTACGCCGCATCCATTAAGCCCAACCAAAGGAAGGCTGCTAAAATAGAGTCACCGAACCAATGAACCCCAATTGAGTCCCTGCAGGTCAATTGGTTCGGTGACTTAATTTTAGCAGCCTTCTTTCGGTTGGGCTTGATGGATCCGATGCACCGATGCGTGGTACTTTCGAAGAGAGGCTGTACAACTTCGGTACGTCGTAACGGTTGTAAGGACGTTCCTACTCAGAAACGACGTCTGCCCTGCCCGCAGCGGCTTGTCCTGGCAATGTCCGTGCACTGTTCGGCCATCATAAACTGCACGCCGTGACATACCCCCCCCCCCCCCCCGACTACCAGTGCCACAATAACTTATCCGTGGACCGCCACTCCCCCGCCGGCCAGTACGCTGAATCCAGCCACACTACCAACAACCTAATCGAAAACAAACTTTCCGTTTCGCATGTATCACCAAAATGACCCACGCGACGCTCTTTTCGAATGATCGCCCGCCCACAACAAGCTTCATTGGACGATAGAGTGGCATCAGACGAATATGTTTTCTCAGTACCTACCAACCAGCGGCATCAGAAGAACTGGCCGGCGGCGAATTGACCGAGGCCCGATCCCGGGAAAAGATGCCCTAATCCTTTTCAGCACTATCATTGCCAGCAAGTCCGCTAGCTTACGCCAGACGAGAGCTAAAATAGTCGCTCCGGACTGGACTAGTGCAGCCGGCTGCTGAAGAGATCTCGGAAAGCCCGGAGCGGTTGCAACGGGACCGCCACGCGCCCGCCACGTGCGGCCCGCCCCGCCCTGGCCGGACGAAACCACGGCCCTCTGCCCAGCACCGCGCCCAGAGCTGCCCTGTTTGTAGCACCATGAGAATCTCTGACCGACGAGAGCTGACACGCGATGAAGCCAGTGACCCTGGGGAGTCCTGCAATGCACGGCAAATCGCGCAGACTGTCGCGGAACGTCGCGTGTCAGCGGATACGATGGCGACAGCGGCCGACAGCTCAGCCGGTCGGCCGGTCGGTCACGCGACTCGAGTGACAGCCGTTTTTCCCTCCCCACAGCTCCCCACGACCGCACCTGCAGTGTGACGTCACGTGCCAGAAATTGGTGACGTCACCCGCCGTCTATGACGTCACTCTTGGCGCCGGGGCGATCACCGATAGGTCGGCGCGGATCCGCCTCCGGAGGATTAGCGCCACCAAACCAACGCGCTCCACCGCACCACACCGATCAGAAAGGAGTCGGTGGGTTCAGCCAGCACTGCCCAATAACTGTCCTTGCATGTGGACCGCCCCTTAAGCCGGAACCCCTAAACAGACGATGGTGAGGATCTGCGGTTAATTGGCAGAGTCTGCAGTCCGGTGCCGATCTGATTTCTAACGCTACGTCCGTGAAATGATGCACTGCCCCACTGTACCGTGATCGTTCACTCTTTTTTCGAGATTCGTGACGTGAGAGAAGCATTCTTTAGCAGCAGTTATCGAGATGGAACGATGTATACCAGACGAAGGGCAATTACCGGGTGCTTGATCCGGCTTCATGGCCTGCAGCGCCATTACGTCAGGAATGTTACGTCAACGGTTCGGTCATTTGGCGCTCATCTGGAGCGCGCGCGGCGGCCGGCGGGGCTCCGTAATAGCTCCATCGTCATCTGCTGCCGGCCGGCGCACGGTGTGAACCCGGCTCCAAACCCGGCACCGAAGCCGGCACCTTTCGGCGCTCAATTAGCTGACGCGAGCGGGCGAGCCGGACGCGCAGTGGCCCGGCCACGCCCGGGACTGTCCCTCCCCTCCCCGCCCCGCCCCGCCAGCGCCCACCACGCCCATCGCATCCTTCCTGCTGCACCCACCGGTCAGCCTGAGCCGGACCCGCAGCAGGACAGCGAGATCAACTGGGCCAGGGCAGCCGGCAAGGTCGTGATCAGGATCCAGGACAGCGCAACATCGGAAACAGGGCGGGACCAAACAACGGCAGTGATTTGAGTGATACAAAGACCAGCAGCAGCATACGAGTTCGACCTGAATCGGGTAGGTGTGAGCTATAACCGGGGAAAGGTCAAGGATCATGCTATGAACCGGGAGAGAATCAGGTCCACGACTATGGCTTAAGATACATATATTGGACGTCATTAGTACGGACATCCCGGTAAATCAGCAAACCAATGGAAGTCATGTGTAATGAGAACTTTGGCGCAAAAAGAAAACAGTGGCATTTGAAAACTTGGTGATGTAGGGTGATTTGTTATGTCAAATAAGCAAGGTTAATTAGGAATTAGGATGCCAGTCGCAAAAATAGGTATGTGATAATAATGGCATAATAACCCACAAACGAGGTCAAGCGTCATTGCAGATAGAAAACCCCGAGATCTATAGATACCAGTGCATATTTCTGATGATCCGGCAGTGATTCAAGAGCATGGAGTCCGAAGAATCACCGCCGATAAAAGTGAATTTCTGTTAAGTGTTGTATCGGGCTGTATCCGGTGACCGGGTGACCACTCATCCCGGGCTGTCATTTGTCAATAATCCCAGTACCGGACATAGTCCAGTCAACACGGCTCCGTCAGTTGCACCTCCCTCCCCCTCCTCCCCTCCCCTCCCCTCCCCTACTCTCCCCCAACTGCCGGAGCGATACTCAGCAGCTCTATTCACACTAGTGATGTCAATTACGGAAAATTTTAAATTGGAATACCGAAACCAAACCAAATGCCTACCAAAACCGCGGGGAAATACCGAAACCAAACCAATTTGGGAACATGAGGGAAATACCAACTTTTTACCGAAGTTCTTAGCCTTTTATACATAAGGGAGGGTTCATGACACCAACAAAATACCAAACACATAAGGATTAAAATACCAAATACCAAGTTGGTATCGGTTTGGTATCGGTATACTAAAAAGTTGGTATCCGATTGACATCTCTAATTCACACCCACTCGCTGGGTCTAATCAGGGGCACAGCACTACGCTAGCAATTCACAATATCAGAGTACGATAGACCCTACGATGGTGTATAACAGGAAAAAGCAAACGCACTTCCACTACATCAGGGTAAAAACTATTTGTATCGCCCCTCACCTAGCTAATTATTTCATTGCAAGCCTTATCTCGAGAAAAAGACCATTTCCAGTAAGAAAGGAAACGGTAGAGTGAAAAGATGGGCAAAAGAGGGGGAGGGGGAGGGGAGGGAAGCAGGAATGGAGCTAGCACTATCAAGCGCCCAGCGCCGTATGACAACAGATATCGCGTGTCGCATGACGTGCAGAGCCACCGAAAACTCTGCTGCCGGGAACCGAGCGAGCACGAATTCGGCTACCGAGAAACCAGCGAGCATGGAGGCTCGGTGCTGGAACTGCAGTGTTAGTAACGCCGACGACCATCTTTGGCGAATGGAAAGACGAAAGAACCACGATGATGCCCTCGCAACTTGGAAGTGGTTATCATTGTTGTAGGTACTGTTGAGTTTAAAGAGGTGGAAGAGAAAAATTGGTGCATGAGCAATGACAGTAGCTAGTAGCTACGGTGAAATGTGGCGTGATATGCGAACAGAAAAACAAGGAATAAGGATTGCTGTCCAGGTAGCGATTGGTATCTGGACGCCATATCGGGACGATAGCTAATAGGTATCGCTCCAATGCATGGATAATCGGTCACGAGGAAATCGATCATTCAGGCTAAAATAGTGAATAGAGAATTGACTATTTAACAGACCATGATGGATGGATCATGTCACTGAGTCGAACATTTGATGGACCATTTTGGGACCGAAATACTTGTAAACCAAAGATTCTGGTCGCTCGCGTTGGGTCACGGAACAGATACCACTGTTGCTCCCATTTTGTTAAAAAGGCTGAAATCAGCGTAGCTCATCGCATAAGGCTACTTCACAGCCTAGGTGTGGTGTGGGGGTGATTCTTGGAAAATATTGAGCACGACGGCATCCACTGACAATCGATAGTTCCATTGGGACCTTGTAGATGGCGCCACTAGTTGAGAGTACCGGCCGGCTCCGAGCTCCCCGTAACAAAACGCCACAGATGGCGCTAGCTATCACAGGTGGCACCACTACCCCAGAGAAGCGGACCCAGTCCCACAGGCCACAAGCTTATCAAAGCCAATACGGATCACGTAAATAAAATCAGTGTACGGCGAACCACACACACAAGTCGCAAACCGAACTAATAGGCGCGGTCGGAGCGGGCTGAGCTAGAGGACGGAGGTGTGATTCCAGGACGTCGCGCGGAGCGGCGGCGCGGTGCGGTACTCACTAGTCCACCTGCGACTTGAAGCTGCTGATGGGCACACAGACGTGCATCACGCCAGCCGGGTCGGTCACCAGGTGTCGCGGCACGGGCCCCGGGAACGCCGGCTCCACCGTGTAGCCCTCGTGGCGCACGTGCACCGCCACCAGCGCGTCGTCTGTGGGCGGAGGGGGCACGTGTGGTCAGTGTCAGTGAACAGCGCGGAGGACATAGGGAACGGAGCGGAAGGTACACAATGAACAAAAACAGTGCACTATGAGTACAAGTTTTAGTGAGCAGAATAGAATAAAACAAACAACCAACAGAAACCGTTCATGGGCAGACCAACCGATGATGGAGGAGCAATTACAAGGAGCACATGCACATGAAAATGCAATAATTTGGACGGCTTTTAGCAAAAAGACAGTTAAACAAAGAGTGTTGGTGGATAAAATAACAACATATGAAAAGTATCTTCATCAGCACGGCAATGTCACTTTCACTTCAACGCTCCAAGCTATGCTACAATTCCAGGCCGACATGTATACGGTCTCAATTGCTTATCAATGACCATTTTCCCCGCGGCTATGGCTGATAGTAAGTTGATAGAACACATTGGCAGGATAGCTGATAGAATCGTCACTCGATTACAAAAACAAGCATTGTTCGGTCTCCCAGCCTCGGCGACGCGTGAAATTCCAGCCGGCCCTAGTCAGTCGGCCCGGATCACAACAGGCTGACCATAAACCAGTGCAGCGGCCGGCGGCGCGGCGTCCGGTGTCAAAGAGACGGTCGGTCGGTCGGAGCGGGGCAGGGGGAGGGGGAGGGGGAGGGGGCTACTACTGTCCAGCTCACTCCCGGCTCAGACTGCAGCTGCAGACACACGAGACATGCTCTCCGTGCGGCGTCTCGGCCCGGCTACGTGTCACAGTAGAGAGCGCCGGACAGGCGGCCGGCGGCAGGACAGCGCACGTAAAGTTGAGCTGAAACGCATACGAGCTTATCTGCGCAGATGTGGTCTCAATGATCAATGATCATGCATGGGAAGTAGCAATATATGAGGCTGGAAGATCGTTATACAGCAAAGGAAACAGTTTACTGATGCCATGTAAATTTAAAGGTAGTGTGCCACCTTTGAAAGATTTCCCATTTTATTTTTCCTAGGATAAGAAGCTTCTGTTTTTACCTAATATCGCAAAAAAAAAACAAAAATGGGCCTGGAATAGTGCCTTTTTCGCCTAAAAGTTTTTCGGTTTTTAGATATGTATAACAACTGTAGTGGGCTCACCTGCAAACAGGCGTCGGGCAACAATCGCGAATGCGGCGCACTTGTGACAATAAGCAAAGGTCATTATAGTGTTACGACCATACGACGTACGGGAATGAGTTATCAGCTGTCTAATCGTAGACAACACAATGTCGAGCCTTAAACTGTAAGCCCGTATTGGTATTGTTTCTTTTATTTGGCTGTCGAACATTATTTATGGTTTGAAATATGATTTTATGTGAAATAATTGATATGAAAAAGCCGTCTTATAAGTTATGACCCCATTTCACCACACGCAAGTGGCAGAAATGACAATGATCAGCTGACGCATTTTTCTTGGCCGAAGTCAGAGCGCGCGGCCCGACGCACCACGCGTATTTGGAAATTCCGACCTCGACGAGCATCAGAAGCCACCTAACAGGCGTGTTCGAAACCGCAGGAGATGATGATGAACGGGTTTATCGAAACTTGATTGGATGAGCATATCGGTAATAGCGATTTCAGTGTGTGCATTTATTGTTCATAGTGGTGTGAAATGTGGTTGGGGTACGACCGACAACCCGTCGGGGCGAATTTCGCACTGGGGTACTCAAAATTTGAAGAATTTAAGACGTTTCCATGAGTTTTGAAGGTATGGATAAGTTCTAAAAATCCGGTTCTCCTTATCTGGGCCATTAACTCCATACGGTCCAAGAAAGCTGGCACACTACCTTTAAGTAGAGCCTTTTTGAAGCAAGATGAGAGCATCTGTGGGGTGTATGGAGCTTATTTGAGAAAGAAGGATATTGTAATGCGCAATGCGCATCTATTCCAAGATGACTTAGGTCAATAGGTCATGTCCCAGCGACATGAGTCGACTTCCAGTCCTTCTCAGTCCTTCTCGACTGCCAGCTGACAGGCCGGCCAGCCCGCCCCAAATGGCCCTAAATCGGACCGACTTCCGTCGCGCCCCGCCCCAATGTCACACCATCCGCCTTGTTTACCCGCCCCACGTCTACCCTCGGCGCGGCGCGGCCCCAATATCGCACCCGTGAGGCCGGCAGTATTTTAACCTCCCCTCCCCCACGACCCTCGTCCCGACCCAAACGCCATTAGCGCGGCGTCCAGCTGACTGCGCCCACCTCCCTACCCATCCCCACCATCCCGCCTGGTAGGACCTACCCTCCCCCGCTCCTCCCCCATCCAGGCGTCCTACCCTACCGGGGCCGCCAATCTCCTCAGCAATACCACCTTCTCCAGCCAACAGCTCGGCCTCCATCCCAAAGGACAACAAAGACCCACTCATGTCAGCTGACAAACAGGGACAAGTGGCCATCAGTGAGCTACAAAATCGCGAGCAGATGGACCACGTGCGCACCTCGCTGTCGCCCGGAGCAAGACGCACTGATTTCAGGCTCAGTAGCGACTCGCCTCGGAGACCAGCGACGATCGACGGCCCAGCGTCGCTCGGAGCTCGATGGGACCGGCGGGACAGCCATGAGCTCGTGTTGTGTAAACTAGGCCTGTGCTCTGCTGTGGACCATGTGGGCGACACACGGAGGTAATTTCCGGGTCCCCCGGCGGGGGCGGGGATGGGGGCGGGGTCGCAGACGGCGGGGCGGCGCGGCGGTCCCAGAACCGGACGCGGCTCGAGATGCATGGCGTTAGGTCAGCGGCCAGCTACACATGTGGTGTCATCATGATTTCCCGGATATTAGCGATGAGCGCATTAAAAACAGCTGCTGGGGGTGGGGGTGGATTGAGCAGTGTGCACTGTGCACTGTGCATTGTGCATGGCACGTGTTCGGTTTCACATTACAGCAGCTGTTGCTAGAGTTTGAGACCATTTCACGACTGTATGTAGAGGATAAGGGAGAGACACTGTAGGTACCCCCATTGCAAGTTTCAAATCGCTTTATACCGGCAACTCCCCAACCATTTACAATGTTTTATCCGCTCTGCTATGACGTCATCCATGCTCCATCGCCTTCCTATCACTATGAAACAGCCGCACGTGTTGCGTGGCTGTTTCACCATCCCTGGCAATTTCTGACCGCCATGCGTATCCGAGGCGAGCACGCACATGACTGCCCGTCAAACGGCGCCACATATCCGCCACCGCCACCAGCCGGGCTGTTCCTAACTCGCAGGAACGAGGGGGCTCCTCCCCTCACAACGTCCAAAAAACAGCCCAGTGCGGGCAGAGCGCATGTATCATTTGAACAGGTGCCGGGTGTGGATGGCTAAACGGACAGGCGTCGACACCAGAATAATGGCGAGCACATTAGCAGAGACATTAAGCATTAGCGACTACATTACATTAGAGTGGGGCGCTAAAGGATAGCAATTGCATGAAAAAATACGGCGAGACCTTAACGTTAACATATTATACTCTTCACAGGGAAACGTTATTTTCAGCCAAAGAAAGAAAAGGTAAGTACTACCAGTATAACGCCTTTTGGGGCGACTAACAGAGCGAGCGAGAGGGTGGGCCTTGCACGTGCGAAATTTCGAGGGGGTACCTCCAACTAACTTGTGCACGGCACCTTACTAACCGGTCTCTAGCGATGTGCCAAATTTGAGCACAATCGGCCCAGCCGTTCTCGAGATCTGGAAGCGGCACCCTGCACGTGCGCACGTGCAAAATGGGTCCCAACTGACTTGTGCACGGCACCCTACTAACTGGTCCCTAACCGTGTACCAAATTTTGAGCGCCATCGGTCCAGCCGTTCTCGAGATCTGGAAACGCCCCCTGCACGTGCGCACGTGCAGCAGCACCCCAACTCTGGCACATGGATATGCATTGCCTAGTGGGTGCCTACCTACATGCCAACTTTCAGCGCAATCGGCCAAGTAGTTACCGAGATATTGAAACAATTACAAAACTGACACCTCTTCGTTTTGCACGTGGCACGTGCATAAGGGGTCACCCACATGCATCGGGAATAGTCCAATACTTGGTAGAAGGAATGAAGCTACCCTACAAAAATTACCGCGTGTAAATCGGGTCAAGTGGTTGCGTTGCTGAGATATAAGCCTCGCAAAAGCGTCCGCACGGCCGGCCGGCCGGCCGGCCGCTCATACTCAGAAATTTCCGTTAATCTAAGGAAAGACTGCGCTCGCTTCGCTCGCTCCGTAATCATGTGCCCCAAGATAAAGAGCGATTAAGTTCCCCTGTTGCTGCATCTGGACCACGAACTACCAACTTTCCCCTGAGTAGCGACGAAGACCATCCTAAAACCCCCACAGGAGCGAGTCTCCCCCTCCCCCCCCCACCTCCTCAGTCCCCTGGAGGAGATCATCACGTAAATCGCAAATCTGTCCGAGCGTTATATTTTAGAGTCGGGAGCAGTCATTGGTCAGGGTGTCACCGGGAACGACAGAGCCGAGCCAAACTGCCACGGGAAGAGGGGAAGGAGGGGGAGGCCGAACGACGCCCATGAGACAGCACGAGAGACTACATAGTGACGACGGAGCTCTGTGAGGGTCGTGACGGCACGGCAACAATCAGACCCCGGTGGGAACTGGGGACGGTCGTGCTGAGTTTTGGTCAAAGCAGCCACAGGGGAGGACGTCCGGATTGATATTTGCCAAATTGTCAGGGAACTCAGATTTGTTTTTCAATAGAAAAACACAATTCTAAAGAATAGTGTTTTAACTATTGACAACAAACCTTCGGTTATTGAAAGCGGCTCTTAAATACGTCAGATGTGTGGCCTACTGAATGAGGTAGATAACGAGGAGTACCGAACTATAAGAAATTTTGGGTGTTTGTATCAGAGAACGGCTGATAGCTGTACGTCATTATTTCGATAGCAAATTGCAATAGCGTCCACTGATGACAAGTCTGAACCATCCACACTTTTAACCATTTCAGGATTGTATGAAGACATGATATTGGGGGATGTTTGGCCGAGCCGACCGCCAGCTGG